AATCTAATGACAGCTTTATCAATACATCCAAACAGCCAACAGACTCTGAAAGATGGACACAGAAACAGACCCAGCACACCTGAACACCTGAAGGCCAAACCAGCAGCTCACAGAGCTATGCAGGAGTGGTACCTCCGTGCATGGTGCTGGTGAATTAAAACAGATGATGGAAACCACACCCAACAAGTAGATCACTACAAAGGAGCATTAAAATCATTAGAGAAATTAAAATATTACATTAGGAGATGAACACAAAGGACAGAAATAAGAATGTAATAGAGAAATAAAAGGACAAGTGATGTTTAAAATAAAAACTCATGGTAGAAATAAATCAAACTACACCAATAATACTAAAGGTGAATGGATTAAAGAACCCAATCAAGCCGGGCGTTGGTGACACATGCCTTTAATCACAGCACTCGGGAGGCAGAGGCAGGTGGATCTTTGTGAGTTCGAGACCAGCCTGGTCTACAAGAGCTAGTTCCAGGACAGCCTCCAAAGCCACAGAGAAAGCCTGTCTTGAAAAACCAAAAAAAGAACCCAATCAAAATGCAGGAATTTTTCAGATTGAGCAGAAGACTCAATATCCCATCAATCATTGCTATCTTCTGGAGACTCACTTCAGATTCAAATATCTGAATAGATTAAAAGCAATCACTAGAAAGCCAGTCAGAAAAAAAAAAAAACTGACTTAATGGGTTTTGTTTTGGTTTTGAAACCTAAGAATTGAGCCCAAGACCTTGCATGTTTTTGACAAGTGCTCTATCACTACCCCAAACATAGGCTTTAAAACAAAAATGAATGTTACTAGAGGGAAAAAAATAGTATCTTATCATGGTAAAAGGATCAATTCATCAGAAAGCTATAACCATTAGAAAGATAGGGCATACCTAATAAGAGAACACCGAAACACATGAAGAAAAACAGACAACGAAGACAAAGGAGTAATTCAGTCATAATGGTTGGAGACACTGATATCTGCACTTAATGGATAGAGAACTGGGCAGAACATCAACAAAGCAACAGGGGACACAAACAGCACTGTAAGCCAGCATGCCCAGCAGACATCCCCACAACACCCCACCCAACCTTCTCACAGGACAGTCTCCAGGCCAGCCACATGCTGAGCTCCACCACAGCCACAATGCATCTGGAAGGAATGGAACAATACAAAGCATGTCCTCTGACCACAGTGGAATAAATTCTGAAATCATCAAAAGCTATTTGGAAAACTCACAAGTATGTGGCTATTAAACATCATACTGCTAAATAACCAGTGGATCCAGAAGGAAAACTGAAAAAAAAAAATACTAGGTGGCATATAAAAGACATGACACATTGAAACATGGGATGTAGCTCACAGAATAAGTCACAGCTATAAACATTTACAATAATGAAGGAAGATGTGTGGGTCTTGGGAGGTAGCCCTGTGGTCCAAGTGCTTGCCATGAAAGAATGAAGACCTGCGTGTTTGGATCCTTAGAACCCACGTAAAAGCCTGGTGTGGCCGTGTATGCCTACGTTCTCTGCACAGGGAGGCAGTGATAGGAGGGTCCCTGGAGCTTGTTGGCCAGCCAATCAAGCTCAACTGGGTAATTCCAGTGAGAGACCTGACTTAAAAAGTAGTTGGAGGGGGCTGGAGAGATGGCTCAGTGGTTAAGGGCACTGACTGCTCTTCCAGAGGTCCTGAGTTCAATTCCCAGCAACCACATGGTGGCTCACAACCATCTGTTATAAGATCTGGTGCCCTCTTCTGGTGTGCAGATATACATGGAAGCAGAATGTTGTATACATAATAAATAAATAAAATCTTTAAAAAAAAAAAAAGTAGTTAGAGAAGTGACTGAGAAAGACACCAGATGCCAGTTTCTGGACTCACATAGGAGCTCACACATATGCACATATCACTCTCTCTCACACACACACACACACACAGAGACACACACACACACACACATACACACACAAAGATGTGAAAGCAGATATAGTAGCACAAGTCCAACATTTGGGAAGCAGAAGAAGGAGGACCAAGAGTTCAAGACCAGCTGGGCGGTGGTGGCACACGCCTTTAATCCTAGCACTCGGGAGGCAGAGGCGGATGGATCTCTGGGAGTTCGAGACCAGCCTGGTCGACAAGAGCTAGTTCCAGGTCAGCTTTCAAAGCCACAGAGAAACCCTATCTAAAAAAAAAAAAAAAAAAAAAAAAAAAAAAAAAAAAAAAAAAAAAAAAAAGATTACAAGGCCAGCTGGTACTACCTAGCAATTTTGGGGCCATCCTGAGCTATATAAGATCCTGTCTCCAAACAAGAAAAAAACAAAAATGAAGATATGGCCAAGTATGGTGGCTTAAACATACTCAGCACAAGGGTGGCTGAGGTACAATGATCACAAGTTTGAGGCCAACCTGGACTGTGGAGAGAGAATATCTCATAACAAAAACAAATAAACATTAACAATGACAAGATGCACAGACAGGAAACCAACCTTTGCCCCCCACACCAAGAAGCAAGGATAAAGATAAACTAAGAAAATTCACATTTAAGTTCAGAGCAGAAAACCGAAATCAAGGATTTTTGGGGATACTTATAAGCCCACACCCCCAGCAGCAGCACTATCCATGGTGGAAGCAGCCAGCTGTCCACTGAAGACTGAGAAGGCGTATCAGTTCAGTGGGATACCACTCAGTCTTAAAAAAGAAATTACGACCCATGATACAACATGGATGAGCCATGGTGATGTTCCTGTCTCACACTCCCCAGTAGTGGGTCACCACAACTCACTTACCATTACATATTTTGGTCTGTTGTATATAACATTTCATTCGAATCACTGGTTTATAAAAGTTCATTCACCCCTTTCCTCTCTTCAGAAAGACTTGTGCTAAACACCTGAAACCATAAGAATCTCAGCTGGTTCAGGAGTCAGAGGGCAAGGGTACAGGGAGGAACGTGGCCCAGCAGCGGAGGGTGGATAGTCCATGCAAATCCCCACCATCTAGCACCCAGCTGAGGGCTGCTCTCTTCATGGTGGTGTCTGAGCAAAGAGAGCACTGCCTGACAGCTGGTACCAAGCATTTCCATTGTGCCCGGCCCTGCCAGGTACGCCCCCTGCCTGTGTCACTGCACCCATGTGCTAGTTAGGGTTCTCCTTTGCCTTATCCCAACTCTGCCTCCACCACCAAAGCAGGCAGGGAGATCCCTGGGCCTCCAGGAGTCCCAAATACAATCAGGTTTGAGAAGGTACCAGAATGGGACACTTTCAGCCAGCTCTAGCAGGTTTAGGCTGCACAGACCACAGGTCTCAGGTAGGGGTGGCCTGGGTACTCATGGAGACACCAAGCAGCAATTTCTTGTCTTCCTAGCTCTATAGCTCTCAGAGACTCATCTGTCCCACTGCCAACTGGCCCCTCCTCCCTCACCTGCCACAGAGCTAAGAAAGAATGATCTGTGGGAAGGAAAGCCAGTGTCAGCACTGTGCTGGAAACCAAGGCCCCTCTGTCCTAGTATTCAGAAGACTCTCACCTGCCTGGGTTAAAATCCTGGCTCCTCTCCTGACCAGTTCAATTTCTGCATGAGTTCCTTCCTTGCCCATAGTACTCAACCCGGCCTCTCAGAAAGAGGCTTATGTGAGCCTGACAGACAGTCAGTCACTTGCACTGTATGACACGCTATCAGGGTACATTTGGCACAGGGTCTTCTCCTCAATGTGAGTAGGTCTTGCTGGCCCATTCCCAAGCTGCCCACAGTGGGTGGTTCTTGAGGTGTCCTGAATGGCTTGCACATGGGAGCTCTTAGATGGGAAGGAGTTGCCAGGCAGTGGGCCACTGGCAGACTCTAAATCCTTATCAATTGCCTGATCAGAGTTCTACCCAGAGCCCTGGGGGAGGAGTGGCACTCAGCCTCCAGTGAAGTCACATGATCCCAAGGGCCTCTTGCTCACGGCTCCCATGGAAGGATGGGGTGTAGAGTATGGGGGACACTATCAGTGGTGAGCTTCCAAACCTTTCCAGTGGGAGAGGCAAGTAGGTCTAGGGTGGGCCTGGTGTTCTGCTTTTCTATCTGGAACCATTAACAGCTGTGTAGGGGCTAGACTTGAAGCACCAGGGCCCGAAGCCTGGCACAGCCCTTCCTGAGAAGTGCCTGGGATGCATGAGTGGCAAGCCCATCCTGGCTCCCCACCCAGCTCCATTCTGGTTTCCAGCATCTGGTGGGTAATACTCCATGGCTTTTCAGAGTTGATTGGATTCCATTTCTATTACATATATAAAATAAATCCAGCACCACATTATAAAACAGAAAATGTAAAAAAAAACAAAACAAAAAAAAAAAAAAAGTAGAGGGAAAGAATCACTGATAAGCTCAAACTGCACTGAAAAGGATGGCTGCTGTCTTTGCTCCTGGGATCCTGTCTGTATTGGGGAGTCTGTCATCCAAAGAGTGGAATCAGCTGCAGCAAAGTATAGGGGACAGAGTAGGGCTGCCCCCAACACCCTCCATCTCCCCATCCTGCACCCTGAGAGGGATGCCAAGTCTCTTTGCACCCAATGCCTTTACCCAGGCCTATCCTGGGGCACAAATAGGCCAGGACCCTGATCCTTCCTTGCTCTAGGCAGAGGAGGATCTGAGGGAGGGGGTGCACATCTGGATTCCTGGCCAGGAGCCCACATTCCTTCCTGGTGAGTGTGAGCAGATGGGGCCTCTGGAGAGTTATGAAGAGGTTGTTGGCTGCCTCCTGCCCCCACTATAATGGAACCCACCCTGCAGGAACACTTGTGGGACCCAAAGGGCCAGAACCTCACGTGGGGTCCTGGTTTGGGTCCAGAATCCCCCATGCAGATTGCTGAGCAAGCAAATGGACCCAAGTAGAGTCTGTGTCCCTCCACCCCAGACAGCCTTATCTCACTTATCAGCATCGGGGAAACAGAGGTCCAGGGGAAACCATGGTGTCCACTTGCCCACAAACCCAGGCAGGAAGGAAGCTCAGAGAGCCCAGTTGATTACCTGAGGGCAATCCTTAATGTAGTGTCCTTTGTTGAAACACAGGTGGCATAGGTAGTTGGGCGGAGGCCTCTTGCTGGGCTTGCGGGCCTCAGAGGTAAGCGTCAGGTCTGAGAAATGTTCAGTAAGGGAACTGAGGCCATCAGCGATGTTGTTGAGGGAGCCATAGGGTGAAGCATTCCTGTACACACTGCTGCTCAGCGCCTGTGGGAACAGAGGCCATTCAGGGCTGCGGTGAAGGAGGCTTTCACTCACCACCCACATCAATTCACACAGAACCTTCAGTTAACCTCAAAGCCTGAGTTCAAATCCTAACTCTAATGGTAGGTTTGGCCTCAGGGACCCTGCCTATACTATGGGAACATGGGGATGACCTCCTAAGGCTTCATAGGGTAAAGTGAGGTCATGAGTCTAAAGTGCTTGTCACATGGCTGGGCCCTAGGACCCCTGGGTACATGGTGATGATATTAACAGCTGTGACTGTTGTTACTATCAGTTCTTGACACACTGCACCAGATGTGGGGGTTAATACCATCAACTTGGCAGGATCTAGAATCACTTAGGAGATAAATCCCTCAGCATGTCTGTGAGGGAGTTTCCAGATTGGATTAAATAATTTGGGAAGACCCACCCTAAATATGGGAGGCACCATTCCATGGGCTGGGGTCCTGGACTCAATGAAAAGGCAGGCAAATCAGGTTTGCGGCAATGTGACCATCAGCCCCAGGCCCCTAACGGCACGACTTGCCTGTCATGATGGACAGTACCGTGCGATGTGTGCTGAAGCACACCCTTCCTTCCTTAAGCTGCTCTTGCCTGGTATTTTGACACAGAAACAAGAAAAGTGACTAATACAGATGGCATCATGGGAAACCACTTGTCAGGCATGGAGGGACTTCAGACACATCTCTGTCCTACTCTATTCCCCATCTAGTACGGAAGAGACTTGGGAGCTTGCAGTGTGGCTACCATTTTGCAGAACTGGAGGCCAATGCACAGAGGTGCTTGGCCAGCCTGAGCCACCTCCCTGAGAGCCTGGTGAGGGAAGTGGCTACCTCTCCCACCTCCACATGACAGGAACCAGACACCCTGCTGAGCTCCCAAGCATACACAACTCAGGCCCTCCCGGTGTATACAGCCTCTATTTATAGGCATCACGGGCTCCAGATGGCATGGCACACTGGAATTTAGTGGGGGTGGGGCCTGTGGTGGGGCTGGCAAGGAATGACCAAGGGCTCCCCTTTCCTCGTGAAGGGCCAACGCTAGAAAGCAGCAGCTTCCCTGAGAAAGTCATTAGTGAACCTGGGCACAAAGGCTGTAGTCCTCTGAGCCCTCTATAGATGCCCCAAGTGGCAGAGATGAGCTCTGGCCTTGGGCTGATATGGATGAGGCCATGTTTTAGGAGTCCTTAGGTGGATAGAGAAACTAGGTCTCTGAAACCAAGAACTTAGATGCAGGGGGTGGGAAGAGTAGGGCAGGGGCAGTCCTCTCTGTCTCCCCAGTATGGGGAGGGGGAGGCGAGAATTGACAGCAGTCTAGGGTGTGGAGTACACCGTTCCTAACCCAACAAGAGTAGCTTCTAAACTAATCTCATGTTTCCATCTTCAGAAGCTGGTCACTCAGCCCTCATCTTCCAGGTAAGACAGTATCTGGAACACCTGTGAGGTGACCCTGAACTGGCCCTTTCTGTCTCTGGGCCTTTACTCCTTATTACATCATTGTGACCAGAGTTTGGCCATGGAAGAACACAAAGACACCACACTTGGAGCTGCCCAAGGCTTTCCTTGACAGCTTTCCTGCAGAGAGGGAACCACGTGGGTCCTGATGAACCTCTATTTAGCCACCTGGCACACCAAGAAACCCAGGACAGAGAGCATCAGCACCAGCCAGCATGTGGTCTGGGACAACTCTTTAGCTCCTGGGCAAGCCCAGAATGGAGTGGCTCCCTGAAAGGCAACAGTCCCAATCCTGGAGGCAATGGGCCTATAGGATCACTTTCTAAAGTACAGGGGTACAGCTCTGGTAGAAATCAGACAAGGTGGCCACAGTGACAGGCCAAACCCTAGGAACTGTGCACTGACGGAGATAGCTGGTTCCCATAACGCCCGTGTGAGTCAGTCACTGCCCCCTACTTCACACATGAAATGAGTATTCCAAACTTGTATTGAATGACCTGGAAACTAGTAACAAAAACAGTTTTCTGGGCCCCACCTCAGAGTCACCACAGTGGTGGCTTGGGACCAAGGGCATATTTTGGTGTGTGATCAGATATCCATAATGAGTTACCAGTTTAACATTTTAAAAGTATACAGTTCCATAGCCCTAAGCACATTTTCACTAAAATACAACTACCACCACCACCACCATTCACCCCAGACTCCCCCACCTCCCCAAGCCAAAACTCTGAATCCATTAGATGGTAGTTCCTGACCTCCTTCCTGACCCAAATCTGCTTTGCCCAGCCCCCGCACCCCCACCCAGAAAACCTGGTCGACAACAACCACTTCACTGGCCTCAGAGCACCAACTTCTGGGTCACTCTACATCTTGACTGGGAGACATGTCCCATGCCAGGAGGCTATTGGCTCTATCATCCCAAAGCGGCTTGAGTTGGTGCAACATAGCCCCAGCCTCTTGGAGAAAAGTTCATCCAAACAAGAAATTTGAAGCTCCAAACCCTGTGACTCACACTCACGGCTGGGAAATGCAATTTCACAAAATAACAACCCTCTTCTATTCCCCCCTTTCCTTTCTTTCATTTTTGCTGGATAGGATCTAAACAAGTCCACAGCCTTCAAGACTGTTTTAAGAGGAAGGGGAAGTTTGGTGGATGCCAAAAACACACTAATTATACCCTAACTAGTCCTTTCCCAGGCTTGTGGCCACACTCCTAGGCTCACAACAGCCCCTCGGGCATCCCCGAACAGCCAAAGACCTCTGAGCAAGCCACTCCCTTCCCTGGCAGCTCAGCAGTCCCAGATATCACCAAGGGTCACAGATATGCCCTAGCAGCTCCACGGACAGAGAAAGGATAGAACCCCCCTCCCAGAATGCTGGCCTCCACTGTCTCCCAGCCAGTCTATATAACTGCTGCAGCTCTCTTGCCCAAGCTCCAACCCAAGACAAGTACCACTTGGGACTAAGAATTCAGAGAGCAGTTAGTTGGTTCAACCACATTCCCATGTTATTAGAGAGAAACGGAGGTTCTGAGAGCTGAGACTCAGACCCAGTTGGAACCATGAGCCAGGAGTCCAACTCTGCCTGGTCAGGGCAGGCTTGGCATGTCAGAAAGCCGTCTCCTCTGTAAAGCCCTATTTGAGCTCTGGCCACAGAGGTGAAAGGCAAGGCCCAGCTGTTTTTCTAGCCTGCAGGGACTGGGCAGAGCATAGGGTTGGGCCTGCCCTCTTGGAACAGAAGGGTGGGAGGGCAGGTGCACCATTGCTGCATTCTGACACTCGGGTTCTGAAAAGTACCCAGGACCCAGCGTGTAAAAGGTGATCAGCTATTCACCTATGCCACAGGGCCAGCAAGCAGAGCACAGACGCATGAGTTCCCAAGGCCCTGTCGTCCAAGGAGGGCAGGCCCACTTATGTGATAGATGTAAGCCACTGGACTACATCCTCATCCTGGGTCAGTGGCTGCAGAAGCTGGCGGGAAGCATGGGATCCTTCCACCATATGTGGGGAGTCACAGCATCAGACTCATGGTCATTGCTGGAACCTTCTCCAAGGTTCTTGATGGGTTAATAGGGAAAAGTAGATGAGAAGACACTGGTTTGTTCTGACCACTAGTGCCTCTGGTATAATCAACAGAATCTTTTCTTTTTCTTAGTTCCCCTTGATTGCTAAGACACTATTCATCTGACCACTGATCTCATTTTTGTAGAGCTGGAAACTGAGACTCAAAGAGACTTAGTAACTTGCCCAAGGCAACCCAGGCAAAATGTGTTGTCCAGTTAGATTCCACTCCCACACAGCCTCCAAGGCATGTCTCCACTTATAAAAAAAGTAGTCAGAAGATGATGTCAGGTGTGATGTACAGCCCCTTGGTGCTAAGCAAGACGTGGTACCTGATTCTTTGGATTTTGTAAGAGGGCTGGATCCTGGAGAAGGTAGTTCTGTTGTAAACTGTAAACGACAGAGGCAGAATCCCAAGTCTGTGTCGCCCTCTCCCCAGAGAAGCCTGCCCAGATGGACTCTCCTGCAGGACTATTAGAAGGCACCATAGGCAAGGGAGGAACTGGCAGGCACTGCATAGGTAGGCAGAGAATTCTGAAAGTGGCTCAGAGAGAGTGGAATGCTGAACCATAGAGATGGGATGACAGACAGAGAGGCAGGAGAAGCAGGACAGCGGGTGGAAGTGAGACACAGCCTCTTCCAGGAAATACACAGCCATGGGCAAGGCCAATGGTGAAGGCAGTGTTCATGGCTGGGCCATAGGCAGGTTACCCCAGGGAGATCAGGCAAACATTGATGCTCTATGTCCCGCTCTCACCCAAGACAGGCCCAGAGGAAGGAGCCTGATTCTAGCCCCTAGTTCTATGGAGTTCCTTTTATCAGCCAGACAACTATCTTCTCATCTCCTAAAGTCACCAACCCCTCACTTCTGCACCCAAAGCCACTCAGCCCTCACCTGTTGTGGAATACTAGTTTAACTATGTAAAAATGCATTGCATTTGTTTGTGGTGCTTGCCTAAGGCACCCGATTGGTCTAATAAAAAGCTAAATGGCCAATAGCTAGGCAGGAGGTATAGGCAGGACTTCTGGGCAGAGAGAGTAATTAGGTGGAGGAATCTAGGCTTGAGAGTGACAGAGGGAGAGAGGGAGATGCCAGGGTGATGCCAGGGGCCAGATAAGCAGACAGACATGGAAGAAGCGGTAAAGCAGGGCATACAGAATGAAAGTCAAAAAGCCCTGAGGCAAAATGTAGATGAATAGAAACAGGTTAAATTAAGTTAAAAGAGCTAGTAGAACAAGCCTAAGCTAAGGCCAAGCATTCATTATAGTAAGTCATGATTTGGGAGCTGGCTGGCAACACACACACACACACACACACACACACACACACACACACACACGCACGTGCGCGGAGTTGGAGAACAGATCCAATGGCACATGTTTGATTTTGTCCCTAGCTCTCTGGATGCAACCTCTTCCTCTGGACAATAGGGCTGCTTCCCCAGGCAGAGACATGGGAATAAAATAG